GGGGGGGGGGAGAGTTTGTAATACCCGAAGAGAGAGAAATAGAAATAGAAAAAGAAAAAAAAAAGGAAAAGTCGAGAGGGGCAAATAGGTAAATTTGCCCCTCCAACCACCTAAGGGGTCCAAACGAAACCCCATCCATAGTCCTGCAAAAGAGAGATAGTGAGAGAAAGGGGTAGAGAACTTAGAGAGAGGAGAAAGGATGAACCGCCGGAAGACTCACCGAAAACTACCGTCGGAGTCTATTCCGGTGAAGATCATGATGCAAGGAACTGAAGATCATGCAGAGAGACTTTCTTGGTAGGGAAAAGAGAATGTGGGTGGCCGGAGTCCCATTTTTCATCAAGAAGTTGGAAAACACGCAAGGTAAAGATCTTGAACGTTTTCTCAGATCTACGGTTTTTCTTTGTGAATCAAGATCTGAAATCTTGATATATTCATCTAGGAACAACTCTACGCATGATCTGTGAAGAAGTTTGGCCGAGACCTCAACCCGAAGGCGGAGATCCGAGAGTCGTCCGAGAACGGTGAGCGAAATTTCGACCTTCTTAACTCATCCGGTAGTTAAGCAAAAATTACGAAAAAAATACGAGGACGTAGCCCGTAACACGATCTAAAACTTTGCCGAAGGAATCATGTCGATCTGATCAACGGATCGAAAGATATGAAAATTGGAATAGAGGGTTGTGTTTCGGTTTTTAAAAGGCAGAGAAGAAAGAAGAAGAAAAAAAAAAGAGTCGGCCGGCGAGCGGCAGTCGGCGGCGACAGGCGCCGGACACGCGTCGACCATTGGCTGGAGCAATGCAGCTCCTGCGAGGCGTCGACACGTGTCGCCTGCAAGCTGGGCCGAACCGCGACGCGAGCCGAGCCGACCGGACCGGCCGACCCGCGACTACGCGGAGGCGGGCGCGTGTGCAGCCTGCGACTGGTGCCTTCCCACGCGTGGAACGGCCATTTTGGCCCGGTTGCTTTCTGTTTGCCCGATTTTTGTCCCGGTTCCAGTTCTAATACTGTTCTTACGTGAATAAGGACCTAATTTAAAGAAATCAGTACTTTTTGACACCTCACGGGCAAAGAAACGCTAGCAAAAAGGGCACGCGTTAACCAGGTAAGTCACCACCCGGTATTTAGGAAGAAATACTTGTAGGGTTCGCTTGGATTGTATGTATGCGCCTTAAATTAGCTCTCCATGAATGAGATTAATCAGATGGATTGTTATGATGTGTTGGGTGAATTATCTGAGTGTTGCTTGTATGCCTTAAGCTTCCGTTGTACGTATGCATGCACTTAATTTAGGTTGGAATTGTGTATTCCGTTTTTCGGGTGCTAGATGGATGAATTCGCCCCATTGAGCGCGAACTTCGTGTTTTGGGTGCTGGATGGAGGCCATCGCCTCGTTGAGCCGGCGTGCCTAGTTTGCATGAATATTAGGATGTTAGAAGACGGTGTCATGCACACCCCGTTATTTTCTAGTACCCATTTCTATGATAAGCTTAGAGAATTACTATTAGGAGTGATATGTCTCTCCAGCCAGACTTAATTTTCCCCTAGGAACTTAGCAGTTCACCATGGCAAGAAAGTACCTAGGAGTGTTCATAGATTGCGAGCGTGAGAACGGTATCTATAGCTTCGTGGGAGGACCAAGGGTCCCTGATCAGTCCTTGCTGCTCTTAGCCATTTCGCATGGGAAATGTGTCCCCACGTCGTACAGCCCATTAGCTGCATGGGAACGGGTTGGGTCGCGCCCCCCATAGGAGGACTATATGGGCGTAGGGGTATTCAGCACACCCCTAGGCTAGATACCATGTAGTCCTAGATAGCCATGTAGAGGTAGCGCCTCATAGAGAGATACCGACCATATCAGCTTGGCATAAGGAACCTCTAGGCGTTTAATGAAAGAACGACGAACCGGTGAAACCCAAGGGACAAGTCCCAAGGGACTAAGATTAGAACCAGATGTCCTAGAACCGAAGTAGGAAACCGTGGGAATGTTGTTAAATTAAGATGCGAAGAGAGCCTACAAGTAGGTGGCTTACTAAGTATAATTTTTATACTCATCCCGTTCTCCTTTATTTTTCTCAGGTGTTCGCTGGCTGCTGGTCGAGGTAGAGGAGCGTTTGAGAGCTGTACAGTCACAGAGGGGGTCGTTCCGAAGCGTCAGTCCCTTTTCGGTGTTTTAGAGTCTTTTATATTTTATTTTATATTTGCAATTTCTTTTGTAATAATTAATAAACAAAATTTCTCTCTTTTGTTTTAATTCAATAGTATTTTTATCTTTTTACTTTGCTTTTCTTTTCTTTTATCTTCCTTTTGTTTGTTTTCGATTTCGTCTTTTTAGTCACGATTCGGTTTTTGAACCCTCGAAAATCGGGTCATGACACCAGCAGTCAACGATCACTTATAAAAGAAAAGTAGAATATGGTAAGTATAAACATACTCAGAAAACAACCTACTCGTAGGCTTTAATCGAGAGCATCCTTACCTTACTACATTGCCATGGGTTTTTCTCTAGAATTTACGGAATTCAAGTCTATGTTCTACAACTGTTTGAGTTTTTGGAGAGGCTTTAAAGTTCTAAGAAGCTCTCTTACTTGTTACAAACCCCTAGAGGTCTGAAAGTTTAACATTTTTTTAGCACCGGCTAGATGTTGTAACTAAACTTCGGGGTGAACCATCTTTACTGGTTTTTTAGACTTAATCAGCTTACATTTTTTTGAAAGAGAATGATCGGTATTAACGGTGGAGGAGCAACCTTGTCCTGTATCATAGGAAAATACGTTACCTCTCTCTAAACATCTTTGTGTAAGGTTAGTTGGGTTTCCAAAGAAACCACCATAAAGTTCAAAAGATACGGAGGAACAACCCTAATTGTCAACCAACTACTGAGTTTACTTCGATGGTTCCTCACCCTTCTCAAGATGGATTTATTGTGCAAATACCTTGTTCAAAAGACTCCTAACTAGTTCCATAAGATAATGATATCTAGTAGCCTTAATACGCTACGCTACCTGGCCTAGGCCACGCTCGACAATTCTACTTTTGTAATCTTCATAACGCTAATGGTTTACTCGAGGAGATAGGAGAGATAGGCTCGAATGATGCAATTCACAATGCTAGTAGGTCTAGTGAGATTTTTTAGTCTTCTCTTGCTACTGTGGAGGTTAACTAGGTATTTAGGACATCTAGGCAGTTTAAATCTCGAACTCTTATCTCTAAGGCTCTCTGAACTAGCAACTTGGAGCTAATATACTTATGAGAATGCTAGGTTTTTTATCTCTTGTAACACCTGAGCTGATAAGACTTAAATACCCGATTTTTCTTCAAAGTTCTAACTTTCAAGAATTTATCAAGCACCTTAAGACTAAATTTTGAGATATATTAGAAGGAAAAATACTTATAAAGTTCCAAAAATCAAGATAAATATAAAATAAAATAGTGAAATTTTAGGGAAAAAATGGTTAAAGTTAACGTTAGAAGAGGTATGTTCCTTCGTTACACTATATATTGCTAACTAATGAAGGGGAACCAGAGCCCTTCGACGAGGCCTCAGGAGGATACAACCAAATGGGAGAAAGCCATGAATGATCAGATGTCTAGGCTTCAAAAATGTGTTTCTATTTCATCTACTGAGGTTGAGTATGTGGCAATACCTGAAGCTGGAATGAGATGATATGAATGACAGACTATCTAGAAGAATTAGGCAAGAAGCAGTGCGAGAAGATTCTTCATGTAACGACCCTAAATTTTTACTTATTTAATCTAAGGTCATTACTATACTTTAAACGCAGAATTTACTTTAAATGGGCTCTTATCACAACTGCGACATAATTTTGTCTTTTATTACCTTATGAATAACGAATACAAGGGAAAGAAAGGAAAAACAGCTCTAAAATAAATGTTCTATACTAACCTATGATTTATTAACGTGATTACAATTCAACCTATACTAATGATGCAAACGGGATTCAATCTATACTAACCTATACTATGAATGCAAATGAAATTCAACCAATACTAATCTATATTACGAATGGAAATCAACTATCCTATGCATGTGTCACGGTTCCGAGATGTGTGATGCTGCCGTCGGTCTCACATGGGTGCCTTGCCTTTATTTGAAAATGTGGTAGTGCGAGGCTTGAGTATTTCTAGAATACTCAGTAAGTGACCCCCTATCGGGGTTATGCAGCAATCACATGCAAATGAGATGATGGGACCTATTTTTCAATCTATCTTCTTAGAGTGCTGTCCTAACGGGTAATTTGGATGTGTACCATATACTCTACACACAACCCATACATGCGAGTATGGGCTCACCAGTCAGTTCGCACGCCGCTGGGCCACTTTCCTTGTCAGGCGAGCATACTCTAGGAGCTCCTTAGGCCGGACACCTGTTAGAACTAGTAACCGTCACGGCAACGCTATGTAAAACGTAACGAACGTACCCCTGTCATTGGGTGTACATGTCCGTACCCTCGTGATGGAATAGAGGTATCTCCCCAATGCATGAGCACACATAATGCATGAGGTCTCAAATATTTCTACTTTTATCATTAATGAATATAACCCCGCTATCATCTTTCATGCTTAACATGTCATTTCTCATTTTTCAGTCTACGTATCATACATAATCCTAATGGGGTTACATTTCATGCAATTTATCTTGATTTCATGTCATACATTACATGTTGTTTACATTCAAATTATAGTACCATTCATGCCGGAATCATCCAGACACATCATAAATGTCATAAGCATAGCACATCACATCATACTAAACAACATACATTCACATTTCACAAGCATACTTAAACGAGTATAACAGTCTAGCATACAATTTAATGATATGTGTGAATCCACAGGGACGTGCCAACATACAACATACAACGCATAACCTACGACAGGTGAGCCACTTACTTGGTAGGCCTTAGCTGAAGTACTCCCTAAAATATAAGCTCCTAATATACGTCCTATGCTTCTGTTGGTGGTTGGTTCCTATTGGATCATTCGACACCTTCGTTAGTATTTCACAAACATAATTAATTTCCAACTTAGATTTGTGAAATACAGCCTTAAAATGATATATTTTACCTTAAATGGGGTTGAACTCAAGTCCGGGAGGGTCAGAATTGTGCCGAACAGGTCAGAAATAGGGTTCCCGAGCTGAATAAGCTGTCGGAGCCAACTAAGCTGCTGGAGCTGAGGAGAGTTTGGCGCCAGAATCTGCCACGTGGCGCTACCAGGAGCGGCCGCATGTGCTAGCTGAAGTTGGGTCAAGCGCAGGTTTTTGGGTTGCAGTCGCGGGTTTGGGCTGACCGCGAGTGGTGCACTAGGCCTGGACTGAAAGGAAACGATTGCAGGTGGGCTGGGCTGTGAGTATCGGGTATTGGATTGGGCTTGTGAGTCTCGGGTCGGTTGGGTTTTTGGTCTCAGGTCGCGGCTGATGGGTTAGGCTGTAATTGGGCTTTTTGGTTTGGGCTGAGGCGACTGGGCCGCGGGGGTGTCGTCGGTCGAGGTTTGGACTAAAATGGGTTGGACTCAGTTCGGGTCGCGGGGTCCGACCCTCGGGTCGGACTTCATCTTCTTCACCCGATTATTCAAAATTTTCCAGCGATCTCTCTCTCTCCTCGGTAACGTCGTTCCGACGTCCTTTCTCCTCCGTTTCTGAGTCTCCTCCTTCCCTTAATCTCGTTTATGGTGTTTGTTTGGTTCGTAAGGGCCTAACACTCTCAGATCTGAGAGGGTTTGAAAATCCGACGTTCTGTCTCCTTTACTCGACGGTGTACGACATGTAAGCAACGTCGAAATCTATCCCAAATGTGTGTAAAGGTCATTGGGATTGTTTTTGTTGTGTAGAACGGAGGTTTCGAAGTCGATTTCGTATGGTTTGGCTTCGCTGGAGCGTCGTTGGTTTCTTCCTCACTCTCACGATTTTTCGTTTTCTTCCTTGCAGGCAGTTTGGCTGAGGGTTGGGGTCTGTTGTGGTGGTGACCCCCGAAGTTGGGCGAGGCTCGTGGGTCGCGTGAGAACGAAAACTCCGGCGTTTGTCGAAGTTTTTGGTTTCGTTGACGACCACGAAAATTTCTTTTTGTTTTTTTATCTGATCCATTAACTACATGTAGATAGTCAGAGTGCCATACAGTTGGTAAGGAACCCGGTCTATCATTTAAAGACAAAACACAGAAGGCGATAACATTTCACTCCTAGGGTAGTGGAAGGTGGTGATGTATTTGGAGGAGATAGAGGGTGCAAAGAATCCAGCAAACATGTTGACAAGATGTGCTGATGTTTCAACATTCTGTAAAAGCTTAGTTGGTACGATGCATTGATAACCAAATTCTTGGTTTACTAATCAGATTGTTGGGACATGAAGTATGATGACTATTTATAGTAAAAGATACGATATGGTATATGTTCGGTAAATATTTGGTAGAGACGTATTTGATAGATTTTATTTGGTCGGGGATAAATCTATTAAAACTATATTTAGTAAGTGGAAATCATACATATATATACCTTAGTAGAAATAGGTACATCTTTCAAAAAGTACTCTCTTCTTTCCCTATATTCTTTATCGTTGTATATCCTGAATTCATCAATAAAATCTTTAGCTAATATTTCTCGTGAGTGCGAGTGCGTGTGCTATTGGTGCTGTTGATCGATACTAACAATAACAAGATCATCTCATCATAAGGATCCTTCCAAATAGATAACAAGGGAGATGATTTTGATTTCAGCATTCAAGACCCCAACAAATGGAAAGTTTCCATTGGGTCGCGTGGAAGTAGATTGACTCATTTGGACGATTAATAGTTGAAAAGAATATGATTCTAAGATTAGATCAGAGAAGAAGGAAAGCCGTAGCATTTTTTCTATAAAAAAAACCTAATTTTTTAAATTATTTTTATTTATTTATGTTGGGCTATTACAAAAGTATCACTATCTCGACCAAGTGAAGTCTGAAAACAAGTGTCATATAAGAACCCGGGCTATTATTCAAATACAAAACACATTAGAAGAAGAAATTATTTCACTCACATGTTAGTAGAATAAGGTAATATGCGTTTTGAGAAAATAGAGGGTGTATCCAATTGATATGTTGACAAAATGAGTTGACGTTAGCAGAATTTGAAAATTTGACGATAAGAAGAATCTTTGAAGAATAAATTTT